GCTCCAGATGTGATCTCTGCCCCAAAATTCTACCCGGTGACTGAAAGATGTCTGTCTTGCATTGAAGTTATTCTTAAGTGGCTACACCCTCTAATAAATTTTAATGCTCTTAGGAATTATATGTCTTATTTATCTTTGTATTTTTTCAGTTCCTAGCATAATGCCACGTGGAATGAAAATCCTAATAATCTGAAAGTCACCCTGTTAGTATAATATCTGAAAATAGAATTTCAGAAAAATAAGCAATATATAATCATACAAAATTTTCAATGATTTAAAACATATAATTATTAACTTACTGCATGTTAGTTATAGAAAAGTAACTATGAAGAAAGGTATAAAAATGACCTGAAGGTAGCTGTTAAAATGCTGGTGATATATTTTCTTCTTTCTGTTCTTTATTATATGTTATTTATTTATATTTTTACATAACTGAGATTATATTGTAAATACAATTGTATCTAAACTATCCACAAAGAAAAACCCAGGCCTGAATGGCTTTATTGCTAAATTCTTCCAAATATTTAAAGGAGAATTAATGCTAATTATTCACGAACTCTTACAAAAAGTAGAAAAGGCAGGGACTTCCCAATTCATTTTATAAAGCCAGTATTACCCTGATATCCAAACCAGACAAAGAAATCACAAGAAAAGAAAGCCACAAATCAGAATATTGTATGGATATGGATGCAAACATCCTCAAACAAAATATTAGCAAACCAAATACAGCAAAATATAAAAATAATTATATGCCATGACCATGTGGTGCTTATTCCAGGATTGCAAGTTCAGTTTAACATTTGAAAATCAATTAATGTAATGCACTGTATTAGTCTTTTTCTGCTGCTTATAACAAAATACATGGAGCTGGGTAATTTATGAAGAAAAAATATATTGCTTACAGTTTCAGAGTCTAGGAAGTCCAAAGTCCAGGGAACACATCTGGTGAGGGTCTTGGTGGTGGTGACAGTGAGTCATAGCAGAAAATGGCAGAGCAGAGAAAGCGAGAGACTCTTCGTATGCTCTCTTTTTAAAGCCCTCTGATCCACACCCCTGACCACCATTATTAATCCATTTACTCGGGCATGGTCCTACAATCTAATCACCTCTTCAAGGCCCCACCTTTCAATTACCATAATAGGATTTCCTGCCCTCTTAACACTGTAACAGTCAGGGTCAAGTTTTGGGGGGACACTCAATCCAAGGCATACATCATATCAAAAGAATAAAAAATAAAAATCACATTTATCTCAAAAAATACAGAAAAAGCATTTGACAAACTCCAGCATCCTTTTATGATAAAAACACTCAACAAACTAGAATAAAAGAGAACTTCAAATGGACAAAAAGCATCGATAAAACTCCTACAGCTAACATCATACTTAATGGTAAAAGACTGGATGCATTCCCCCTAATGTCAGGAACAGGGCAAGAATGTCCACTCTTATCACTTCTATTCAACATTGTACTTGAGGTTCCGGCCAGGGCAATTAGGCAAGAAAAAGAAATAAAATACATCCACATTAAAAATAAAGAAGTAAAACTATCTTTATTTGCAGATGATAAATATAGAAAATCGTAAGGAATCCACAAAAATCCATTATTACTAATAGCTGAGTTCAGTAAGGTTGCAGGATTTAAGATCAACAAACCAAAATCAATTGTATTTCTATACATTTGCAATGAATCATCCAAAAAATGAAATTAACAAAACAATTCTATTTACAATAACATAAAAATAATAAACTATTTAGGAATAAGTTTAACAAAATAATGCAAAATTTATTCTCTGAAAACTGCAAAATATTGTTGAAGGAAATTAAAGATATAAATAAATGGAACAACACCTTACTCATGGACTGTAAGACTTAGTATTGCTAAGATAGCAATACTCCCCAAATTGATCTACAGATGCAATTCAATTCTTATCAAAATTCCAACTGACTTCTTTGTAGAAATTGCCAAGCTGATTCTAAAATTCATGTGGAATTCTAATAGACCAAAAATAGCTCAAATAACCTTGATGAAAAAGAAGGTAGGAGATTCACACTTACTGATTTCGGTACTTACTACAAAGTGATGGTAATCATGACAGTGTGATACTGGCACAAGGAAAGTCATATAGACAATGGACTAGAATTGGGAGTCCAGAAAGAAACCCATACATCTATGGTCAGCTGATTTTTTGCAAGGTTAATAATCCCCTTCAAGGGGGGGAAAGAATAGTCTTTCCAGCAAATGGTGCTTGGACAACTGGATATGGACATGCAAAAAAATAAAGTTGGGTCCCTATCTCATTCTGTATGCAAAAATTGATCCAAAATGGATTAAACACCTAAATGTAAGGGCTAAAACCATAAAACCGAGAAAAAAATATGTCTTCGTGAACATAGATTTGGCAAAAGATTCTTAGCTATGAAAACAAAAGCGTGAGCAACAAAATAAAATCTATTAAATTTCATCAAAATTAATCTTTTGTGCTTCAAAGGATACCATCAAGAAAGTGAAAAGACAACGTCTGTACATTGAATGACACGACATGCATATTTGCAAATCATGTATCTGGTAAGACGTTTCTATCTAGAATATATAAAGAACTATTACAACTCAATAAAAAGACAACTAACCCAATTTATAAATGAGGAAAGGATAAAATGATGAAAAGATACTCATTAGGTATCAGGGAAATACAAATCAAAACCACAATGAGATACCACTTCATACCCACTAGGATGGCTAGAATTAAAAAGTCAGATAATAACAAATGTTGACAAGGATGTGGAGAAAGTAGAACTCTCGCACACTGCTAGCCAGATTGTAAAATGGTATAGCCACCTCAGAAAACAGTCTGACAGTTCCTCAAATGAGTAAACATACGGTTACCATATAAGTAAGACCCATCAATTCCACTCCTAGGCATACACCAAAGAGAAACAAAACTATTTGTCCACACAAAAACTTGTATGTGAATTTTTTAGTAGCATTATTCATCGTAGCCAAAAGGTGGAAACAATCTAAACGTCCATCAGATGACAAATGGATAAACAAAACATGATATATTTATACAGTGACATATGTATATTATACAATGACCATAAAAAGGAAAAGTACTGAGACACACTACAACATGGATGAACCTTGAAAACATTTGAAGTAAAAGAAGCCAGTCACACGATACCACATATTATGTGAATCCATTCGTATGAAAGTCCAGAACAGGAAAATCTATAGAGACAGAAAACAGATTAGTGGTTTCTTAAGGGTGGGGGAGGGATAGAGTAGAGAGTGGTAGAGGGTTTCTTTTTAAGGTGATAAAAATATTTTAAAGTAATCTGCGGTGATGGTTCTACGTACGTAACTATATGCTAAAAACCATTGAATTTTACACTTAAGATGGGTGGATGGTACGGTAGGTGAATGATATCTCAATAAAGCTATTAAAATAGGGTATATTGTCTTAAACTGAATTTCTTCTCATAACAGCTGCTACTAAAATTTTAGATTGTTATTACCAGTGATAAAATTACTATCGTAAAAAAATTCTCTTTGAAAGAGAAGCCACATGCCATCCCAGTTCTGCATGTTTGGGCTTCAAAGAATTTATTCATGCACTTAAGATAATTCACTGGCTTAACTTTTGGTCTCTTTGGGGTAGGATTCCAAAGGAATTAGAAGAGATTTATACTGAATTCTCTTTTTAGTTACCTGGTAAAATAACGGTTCTTAACCAGGGTTTATAAGCCACAAAGTGTCTGAAAAACCCTGAACAAGCAGAAAAATATTGTCCATGTGCATTTTTCTGGGAGGTAGTCTTTGTTTTATAGTGTCTCCAAGTGGACCATGATCTCTACATTCCAAAAGAAGGTTATAAAACATAGGATAAAGGAATATGAAGATATCATCCCAGGAAATTCTTCTAGGTGTCTCTGATTTTAGGGTGAAAAAATACTAGAATCTTAATTTAATGAATGACAATTTGAATTTAAATTGTAGATGAGGAATCAATAAAAAGACATCTCTCGTATTATTTTTTTCTTGAATTGGAGCTTACATAGTATTTGTATAGAGGATATATAGCTATGTATCTGTTTAGTGTATATCACATTTTATAACCTTTAAAATTTTGTTTTAATATTTTGTTGTTGTTGTTCAGTGCTATTACATTGTGAATGTCAAACAGTTTTCTGTTGAAAGAAGTTATCTTCTCATGGAAAACTTCTTTAACAATGCTTCCTATGCTGTAAGTGGAATGAAAGCACCCTGGATCTTTGTGAGAGGATGAGGGTGAGAAGTTTATTGGTGATTTGCAATGGTGTTAAACATGCAGAGTCTGGCTGGATGGCTCACAAGCACTCTTCACATGTCAGTGGAAACTGTAGTAGGATTGTCATGGAGAGTTTTAATCTCATCTAACCTCTGGAGAGAGTTACTAACCCAATGATCCACAGACTTCACTGTTCATAAGAGTTATTTGCCATGGTGGGGAAGGAGGGAGAGCTTGTGAGAGATGGTGGAAGGAGATTAAAAGTCACACATTTCTGGCCTCACCACAAAGGTTCAGTAAATCTGTGGTGGAGCCCAGGAATCCAAATTTTTGAGTATCCTCAGGTGATTCTAATGAAGCTTGTACTGACCTTGCTTGACAAACAGTGCTGTAACCCCTTCCAAGGTTTGATTCAAATTAACAAGGTAGTTTCATGAAATGAAAGGAAAAGATTTGGGAGTAGGACCAATCCCCTAAATCAGCTCACCTTCCTATTCCCTCCCCTCTCCCCTAAAGCTCAACTTCCTACAGTGTAATTTTTTCAAAACCCTATAGAAAACGGTTTGGATGAGGTTTAGATATATAATTCATATGAATCTTCTGATGCATCCAGATATCATGTAATTAAATGACAAGTAATAAAATCTAAAATGTAAGTTCACTACCTCTTCCGTGTTGGCTGATATACTACACTGCTAACATAAACTTTTCCTTACAGGCTGATTACCAATGTGGAATGGATAACTAATTCCTGTACCATGACAATGAATGGTCTTGTGATCTACTATAAATATCCAGAGCTAGGCATCCCTCTCTGGCATCTCTAAATGTAGACTTTCTAAGGTGAGAAATTTTCTAGTAATGACTCTGATGACAAACTGACTGTAGTCAGGTCATCTGACAGAAGGCCACATGATCCTGATTTATGATTTAGACTAACTTAGCTCCTACGGTGTGCTTGGAATGGTTATAAGTGCTTTATAAACGTTAATCCATTTAAACCTCACAATAGTGCCATGGTTTAGATAACCTTATTGTCATCACTTAGTAAATGAGGGAACTGAGGCACAGAGAATCGGAGTTACATAATGATAAAATTGCAGAACTTGGATTCACGACCAGGCTGTCCAGCTCCAACTCCTAACCATTACACTTGTATTAGTCCGTTTCGGTTGCTTATAACAAAATACCCAGAACTGGGTAATTTATAAAGAAGACGAAATTTATTGCTTACAGTTTCTGATGGAAAGTCTAAAGTCCAAGGAACACACCTGGTGAAGGCCTTCTTTGGTGGTGGCAGGGGTATCACATTGTGAAAATTGTGGAGCAGAGAGAGAGAAAGATAGGCTCTCTTCTTTTAAAGCCCTCAGAACCATGCCCCTGACCACCATTTTTAATCTATTCACTACTGCACGGTCGTGCAATCCAATCACCTCTTCAAGGCTGCACCTTACAATGACAATAATAGTATTTCCCACCCTTTTAACAGTCACAGTGGGGGCTAAGTTTCTAATATGTAAACTTGGGGGATGCAATTCAAGCTTTAATGAGTTGTGGGGGACATGATTCAATCCACTACAACACTATATCATCTTTTAGTACAGATTGTTTTAAAACAGTATTCTGAATTTTGGTTTTCTGTATTCTATGTGATCTGGGTTAAACAGCAATGATTGGTTGTCAGGGCAACAGGGGTGACCTTTGGTCAGACCCTGAATAGCATCCAGGTTGTCAGGTCCTCAAAGAATGGCAAAGGGTAGATCCTTATTCAGTGGCCCCAGCTGGTATGAGTGACAATAAATAGACTCAAGAGTCAGGGTTCCACACTGCTGGAAGTGACCTTAGTCAAGTTCCAGAGGTTGTCAGCCAGTAAAATCTCAAAGCCAGATAATTTTTAAGAACTGCAAGAAAAAAAAAGAAAAGAAAAAAATCTCAGTCATTAGGAGAACCTCTTAGTGAAGGCTAATAATAGATTCTAAAACATGGAAGAGATTATCTTAAACGGTCTCATTTCTAAAAATATCAGGTTCTTGGATATCCATCCTTAAAAGAAAATAGTGCTGATGAAGCTGAAGGCTATTGTCTCTTGTATTCTATCTGCTAAACCCAAGCCTCCCTTTGCCACCTGTCTAATTTTAATTAACTTCATAAGAGTAAATTTAGGATAAATGCTAATAATTGTGTAATTTCTAAACAAAATGATGCACATCCATATGAAAGACATTAATTCCAGAATAGCATTTATGATCCCTCTTAGAAACAGTGCCCCCAACACTGGAACATGTATTTTCTTTCACTAAGTGAATTTTTACTGGAAAAGTAAAGTCCATCATTTATTTTAAACAAGTATCTCTATAACATGTCAAACACGAAATATGAAAATCAAAATTATATTAACTAGCTAGCTAGCTAGCTACCTTTACTTTTGTCTGTGGTAGCACTATCTTCCAACAACAAAAACAAATATTTTCAGGTCCTACCCTATAAAATATGGCCACGGAAAATACAACAAAAGATTTATCTTTTCTTTGTCATTATCTAACATTAAAATTAAAATCACCCTTAAAAAAGATTCCCAAATAGTAGAGATTTCAAACATCAATGTTGATAGGTTCTAAAACAGTGGCTTTATAAGTTTGTCAAATATTTGTCTCTTCAGTTTATCCTTATTTAGTATCCACTTTTGTTTGTTAAAGCTGCTTAGCTTATGACACAGATTTGTCACTAACTTAATGGTAAATTAATAATAAAAAATTGTACCTAAATCAAAGTGATTTTTGCTTCCATGTTAAGACAGATCTATCACTTAAAATCAATATCTCACACAGTGTTAAAAATCTATCAGCATAGCTGACAGGCTCAGTGTGATCAGGGAATTGCCTCTGTCCTCTGAACTGCTTTGGCTACAACAGTTCCTGATTCTTTTGGATCCAACATATTTTTTTTTAACTTTTTGCAAAGATACTGCTGTACTTTATTTTACTGTTAATATTAAAACTGTAATATAAATGTACTCTATGTCAAGAACACACAATGAAAATAAATTATTACAAGTCACACCATACCAGAAATTTTGTCTTTTAGCTACTAAAATGAAGAAATTAGTGTCCAGAGATAAGCTTCTTAAAATGACCAAAATACTAAATTTTGTTTTTTATTTTCTCACTTTATTATTAGTGTTATTTAATTATAGTATATAAGATAATATGAATTAAATAAAATTAACCCATAAGTTTGTTTAAAGTTTCAAGAGATATAATTATGTGACATATATTTGCACAAGCTTATTCAGCATTTAATTAAGCAGTGTTAATTTAAACATCAAATAATAATAGAACTAGGAAAAACAAATGAAGTCTACAAAGGCCATTAACTCATGATAATGGGTTTAGTTTAAAATGTTTAGTTTTATCTATATGTAAGAAAATGATCTAAGTGTTTCATTTTCAGAAATAACTTATCTGAGGGTGTTTTACTGAGATGGTAATTAGTTACTAGCTCCCATTGTTTTCTTCATTTCCTGGTGTTTTCTCCCTTCACAGGGCTTAAGTGGGCCTTTTTCATGGGCTTGTCCTGAGCCCCCAGACAAAGGAATTCCTTGCATTGCAAGGAGGTAATAAATTTTAGCTGTCAGGAAGATTGTGCACCTCACACTACTCAGCCAATGAGGAAGTGGGGGGAGAGACTTGCATACTAGGAAATAAATTGCTTGCTACAGCCCTTTTCTGTGTGCCTGCCCTTCAGACACCCGAAACTTATAAAGCTGTAATTAAAGTCTTGCTTCACTGTACCTCTTGTCTCCATGTTGATCCTGAAAGAAAGTGAGCCGAGACGCTGGGTACCAATCAAGCTTTATTAAAGGAAAAGAATCTGCCAGGCTGTGCCCAAAGTGGGGGGCAGCCCAGGGCTACCCTCAAAATGGAGGACAGCACCAGGTGTGGGGGTGGTAGAGCTTATATAGGGTGCCAAGGGCTGGCTGATGTAAACAAGGAGGGGCATTATGCTAATGTTGAAGCTATGCAACCAGGGTGGAGAACTGCACCCTTGCAGAAGCAAAAGGGATTCTGTTTAAGTCACAAGGCTTCTCCTAAAGGGAAAGGGGGAGGGGTTTGGTGCTGGAGTAGAAGACAAGGCCAGTGGCTATTTTGTGTTTATTGTGTGCACAATGGCACTGGTCATGTCCAAGATCCATCACATCCTTTGGCATTGGATGGGTGAGGGCATTTCTCACACTGTATAAATTATTATTAAAGTTTTCATAAGATATGTAAAATTTTCTTTTACAGAAACCCCAAGTGCAGCCAGACTCCTTTAGTCAACTACTTTTAAGAGATTGGGTCAAGATCTAGGAGTCCCCAAGAAGAACTTTACCAGAGATACTCTGAGAAGAAGGGTGACAAGATTTTTCCACTTACAAAACTCAGAGATTGCAGTAAAGACTTAAAAAACGCCTAATTGGTGAAAATCAGCTACACCAGACAACAACCCAACAGATTGGTCAGCTGCTTCTAAAAATCAGGTCGACAATAGCACCACCAACTGAGATGATTGTGCAGATCCCTCTGCAAAACATTCTTCGGGTCTGAGTATATGCAAAGTTTCCCTGTTTACACAGAACCATCTGGACTTGGAGAAGTAATATTCAAAGCCTGTGAACTGTGTCACTGGCAAGTGACAAATTTTATTCTGTACTAAACTGGTTCTTCAGAACTGAGACAAGGCTTAGAATAGAGGGAAGGGGAGACAACTGGCCCTCAACAAATTCCACTGAGGTGTGAACAATTCAAAGTTAACTCCCAGTTGCGGGATAGACCTCTACAGTGTTGCTAAACTAATCCTGTTTTAACATTATGTTTAATTGCCTCTCTACTATTCCTATTTAATGCTAGTAGGTTTATTTACCATTTAAGTACTAAGAGCTTACAAAGTTAAATTTGTTAATTAGACCATTATTAATTTGTTGATAAGGTGTTCTTCCATTGCTGTTACTATATGTTCTTAGGTACAGAGACTCGAAACTAGGGGGTAAATAAGTGTCAAATTAATTTTCTCAGACTGACATTTTCATTCTGAAGGTAACATTGTTATAAAGACTTACTGTCCCTATAATGATGTTTAATGCTGTTGATTTTGTTAACTAATCCTACTATCTTGCCACAAAGATGTCTTTAGAAAAGTGGTGTTGCCCTGATTGTAAAGAGCCATGTCTCCCCACTCTGGCTCTAGGACACTGGTTACAACAGACTAGACTTGTTCAAAATGATTATTCTGAAGCTGACCTAGATCGAATGTTTAGAGCTAGTTTTTGCCCTCAATGTCACCACACAATTGCAGGCCTTACTCAGCCTCCTTTTCCAATTGAGTGGGCTCCCTCAAATTTTACCAGGTGGACCCAGGAGAAGGCCTTCCATCCCATTCACCAAGGCCCTCCACTGGTTAGAAAAAGAATATATCAATCCAAACTGGTTGCATTTAATGCTGCATTGCAGTTTATTTTGTCCAAGACCAGTAAAGTCTTAGACCAGAGGCTTGGTGGTTATATTGCAATGGCATCTGAAAGAGAAATAACTTTAACTTCTTCAGTTCCTTTCCTGGATGAGTCTGTTCCAGAGGATTCTCCTTCAGAGGACACAGACTTAAAGTCCTTAAGCGATGGTTTTGTTCCTGAGGAGATTTTCATGGAGAAACCAGACTACTTTTAACTAGCTCTCTTATTCTTCTATCCGGCTAGTTCCAGCTAAGATCGTTAGCCCTTTCTATGTTATGTTTGCAATTACTGAGGTTAAAAATGTAATCCAGGTATATAGTCCCTAGACCCGTGTTTAAAAGGTACTATCAGTGCTGTCTTAACATGACATAAAGTACAGAGGACAATGTACTTTTGTCAACCACTGTAAATGTGTTCTTAGACTTTTACAAACTGCTTTAAATAAGTACAGTTTTTTTCTGAGTTATTTCAGTGCTTAACATGTGGCTTGAGTAGATCACTTTCACAAAATTGTCTGTAGACTTATATAAAAAGCTTGGACATAGTTTAACATAATTTCTATTTACTTCTTATATTCTTGAGGATTATTCCCCTAATTCAAAGTATAACACTCTAGGACTGGGTAATTTAAATCAACTAAATGCCTCAGTTGAATGCAATGATTAAAATGAATATAGTGCATACCTCACAGTTGCCTACATGCATATGAATTTTCCTCAACAGTTCCTATGTTCAAACCAAATATGATGACCAAATTATATCACAAGTATAATTGTGCTGGAAGTTATGGGAAAAGGAGGGAAATGACTTGAATGTATGAGTGAATTCCAAGGTAAAAATAATAATAAATATCATTTTTCTAACCCTTATGTATATGCAGAGGTTTGTTTTTGTTTTCTTCATACTACTTTTAGGAAAAAAGGAAAAAATACTACTCACTTCTATCTCAATGTATAACTCAACTGTTTAGATTTTCCAGAAAGTTATTTGAATTGTATTTTAGCCCTGTGGGAGAAGTTTCTTATCATCATCAGAAGTGTCAAGACTTTTTGTAAGAGCCTAATGAGATGTAGAAACACCTGAAGTTACTTGTATTTAAAATCATGTCTTATCAGATTGTTTCAAAGCTTTCTTCATCTTTGTTATCAAAGTTATATTTGCCTATAAAATAAATGTTTGCTTATAGATGAACTACGAGTGGAGAGTGACCAATAATTTCTTTTTTTCATGAAAAGCATTTAGGGCAATCAAACTATTTAGGTTCATTCACTGTGCTTTGTATTTGAAAGAAATACATAAATGAAAAAGATGTGGTGCAATGCATAATATTCTCTCATTTTTAAATTTATTCACTCATTGAGTAAATATCTGAGTATCTACTTTGTATCCGGCATCATTGTGAACACTATAGTGTTAAGTAAAAATGTGCACCATCCCTGCCCTCTCAGTATGAAAAACTAACAGTGGTGGAAACAAACAATATTCAAATAATGGCACAAATTAATGCAAAATTACAACTCAGATGAAGTCTACAAGGAGAGTTTCACAAAACTATAAGAGTATATAATGGTGGATTTGGCCTAGGTAATGACACTGAGATGACATCTGAAGTATATACAGGAGTAAAATGGGTGAACAAGTGAAGGAAGAGCAGTCTATGCAGAGGTCATGTGCGTAGCTCTGTAAGACAAAATAGAAAAAGATTATGGAAAGAGTATGAGAAGGTGAGAGAGGGACATGGTGATGTGAGCATGGTGTAACATGAGGCTGGATAGGTAGGTAGGATCCTAAAAGCGAAGGGAAGCCAAAAATCATCTGAAGACCATTCTCCTGAGTTTCATGGCTGACATAATTTCACATTAAAATGGTAATGCTCTTTTGAAGCCTATCAGGAAAACCTCTGGGAAATTGACTAAGTTTATCACTTTGAAAAATAATAATGGCAAATGATCACATAGCTCTTACTATTGAGATACTATTTCAAGAGTTTCACACATACAAATTTGTTCAATCTTTCCAATAATGCCCTGAGGCAGGTCCCATAATTGTTATCAGTTTACAGGTGAGGAAACAAAATCACAGAGACCTTCAGTAACTTGTCCAAGTTCAAATAGCTGTTAAAAGGCAAAGCTGAGATTTGAGCCCTCCATACTAATTAGGTATATTTTGGCGTTAGTATTGACATGGGGATATCGGGGATTCTGATGCTGTCCTGGCTACCAGAAAAATGACCCAAGAATCTCTGGGACCAGAATTTCTCATGTTCAGCTGCTTAGCTTCCAAATTTGTTTGTGGGAAGTATTAAGCATTTAGAGAAATGTCTGTAATTAGTTGAAACAGAGACCACATGAAAAATAATTCTTCATGAACACATTAAAAATAAAGAAGTTAAAAGCCAAAGTCACAAACAAATGAGACAAGTACTTTACAACCTTTAGAAAATTAATAGCTTGAGATGAGAATATGTTGTACTTTGAATTTAATTATAAGTTATGAGCATGTTAATATGTAATGTTATCATCAAATCTCCAGTGTAGTGAATGTGTGCAGAACCTTGTGTGATAATGTAACATCAAGTGCAGTTTCAGTTTTGTGCTGGTACTTGAAAAAATCATATAGGTTATTGCAACCGTTTTTCCATTCCCAAGTTATCTGTATATTGTAATTAAATGAATTCATATTTTCAGAAAGCCACAATGACAAGAAGAACCTAGGGATCTATTTATCACAATTCTGATAAACATAATTGCAATTGAGTTTTTACCTATAAGGTCACAGGTTATTCTCACTTCTAAAGATAAAAGTTATTTTAAAAATTTTGTACATTTAGAACTATAAATGATGCTATTTTAGATATTTTACTGGCAATATCAAACAGAGATCTAGATAATAGGTTGATTGGCTTTATGGAACTGACATATACCAACAAAAATAGACACTGGCAGCCAATTATTTGGGACTATACAGAGGGAAATTTCCTGACTGCGCACTATTATTCTTTCTTTCACCAACAAAAGGTCTCGTTTGGAAAGAAATTTCATGCCAATTACTGATAATCAATTACCTTAGTGAAAATAGAAAAAAAGATGGCCTACTTTCACCTGGTAAACTTTTCAACACTACATTGACATTTTTCAGGGAAAGTTTTTTTTAATTGTGAAATTTATTTTTTATTTTTCTATTGGTTTATTTTCTCTGTCTCTTCCTCTGTCTCCCTATCTCTGCAGTTATTGCCATATAAACAGCTGTAAATTATATATAATTATGTATTTTAATGCTGAAACACATTGGATCAATGATTGAACAGATCTTTTGAACTGACGTCTGGAATGTTTTATTTAAATTTATTGATCCCTAGAAGTCCACAGTCTAATTTCTGCAAAATATGTTTCGATGACTTACTAGTGAGTATTCATGAAAATATTTTCACTGTTATATATATAGGTTATATTGCTAGGTAATAATCTGGTCCCATGAATTATCCAAGACCATTATGAAATGAAGACCATTTCACTAATGCCAACAATAGTGCTATGGTCTGGATGTTGGTGTCCCTCCAAAATTCATATGTTGTAATCTAATACCCAATGTGATAATATTAAGAGGTGGGACCTTTAGGAGGGGTTTAGGTGAGGAGGGTTTCACCCTCATGAAGAAACTAGTGCTCTTATAAAAGCGGCCCCAGTGAGCTGCCTTGCCCCTTCCGCCATGTGAGGACACAGTGAGAAGGCACAGTCTATGGAAATGGATCCTCATCAGACACCAAATCTATTGGCTGCTTGATCTTGAACTTCCCAGCTTCCAGAACTGGGAGAAATATATTTCTGTTGTTTATAAATTAAACAGTCTAAAGTATCTGTTATAATAGCCCAAATGCACTAAGACAATGAGGACAGTGTGCATTTAGTAAGATAAAAAATTCCAGCTATGCTTTCCCCACTACATCAAAATGATGATTTTGCTCATCACCTGAGAATAGCAACCAGCCTGTCCCTCTAAATTATCTTCCTCCAATTCCTCCTCCTATGTTCTATAATACTAAAATCCAATTTCATTAATCCACGGAAACTGGAAGACAGAGATTTAGCTAGAATTTTTCATAAACATAACATAACATAGGGGAAAATGGCATTAAGCCATACAGACTTGGTAAAATTTTAAAATATATTGATTACATAATTCTCTCCAAAGGGAGATTTTAGGCAATTGTTTATGGAATAAAGACACTCTTTTTTATATTTCCTTTTGTTGTTTCCCCTGTTTTATTTCCAGGAAAACTGTACTCATTGCTTAGATAAACTAAATACTATGTGTTGTTCAATGACCAACAACCCATCAGGAAAACATTCTTAAGAATAAAAACTAGGAAGTAGGATTGGGCACAGACTTCAGGAATACAACCCCCCAAAGCACAGGCAATCAAAGGAAAAATAAACAAATGGGATTATATCAAACTAAAAAGATTCTGCACAGCAAAAGAAACAATAAATAGAGTTAAAAGACAACCAACGGAGTAGGAGAAAATATTTGCAAAATATATATCTGACAAAGGATTATTAATATCCAGAATATACAAGGAACTTAAACAACTTTACAGCAAAAAACCCAAATAACCCAATTAAAAATGGGCAAAGGAGCTGAATAGGTATTTCTCAAAGGAAGGTATACTAATAGCCAACAGACACATAAAAAAATGTGCAACGTTACTTAGCATTCAGGAAATGCAAATCAAAACCACACTGAGATACCATATCACTCCAGTTAGGATGGCTGATATCCAAAAGACTGAGAATGATAAATGCTGGTGAGGTTGTGGAGAAAAAGGAACCCTTTTACGCTGTTGGTGGGACTGAGAAATGGTGCAGGCTTTACGGAAAATTGTTTGGATGTTCCTCAAACAATTACAGATAGATCTACCATATGACCCAGCTATTCCACTGCTGGGAATATACCCAGATGAATGGAAATCATCATGCCAAAGGGATACCTGTACTCCAATGTTTATTGCAGCACTATTTACAATAGCCAAGAGTGAGAACCAGCCCAAATATCCATCATCAGATGAGTTGATAAGGAAACTGTTGTACATCTACACAATGGAATACTACTTAGCTATAAAAAAGAATGAAATACTACCATTTGCAGCAACATGGACGGACTTAGAAAAAATTATATCAAGTGAAATGAGTCAGGCACAGAAAGAAATACCACATGTTCTCACTTATTTGTGAGAGTTAAAAATATAAATAAATACACAAACAAATGAGAGGGTGTGGGAAAGAAGACTCAACAATCACAATTCCTTGAATTTGTTAAGACAAGAGAACAGATATGATGTTGATGGGTGGGAGGGGGAGAGGGGAGGAAGGATTCAGTAAAGGGACATGAAAATCAACTGCATTGTATACTGATAAAATAAAATTTAAAAAATGAGAGTAAAAGCTAGAGCATTTGCCTTGATTAAAGAAAAACAGTATGGAATATCACATAGAATAAAAATCAGTTAAGGGACCTAAACTTTGCTTCATAGCACCAGCTTCTCTTTTATATCTTGCGTATTTTTTTTTTATATAAAAAAACTGATTGTAGAAAAATTCTGAGTACATTCTGAGTTAACATTCTCTTTTTCTAATGATAAGGAGTGGTGATTACCTGACAGTATAGATACATTAATGAAAAAATAAATATTATTTGATCAATTACTATGTACTTAGAACTGTTTGTGCCTTTATGAAACTTATGTTTTGAGTAAAGTGGTAATACATACAAATATATAATAATCGAAGATAAATTTGAGACACTATACTCAGAGATTCATAATTACCAAGTGATACTTTTAGGAAGTTTAGTTGGACATACAGGAGATTATCTATAGTTCCAGGGCAGGTTTGTGTCAGACATGGCTGCTTGGGAGGCTATGAAATGTGTGTTATCTTCAGAACAACGTTTTACATGCAGAGAGAAGGCCACATTCTGAAAGATTTCAAGGCCAGATCTCTTTGGCATTGGTGGATAGGTCATAAAAGCAAAGTAGTGTAGTGCAAATAGCACTAGGCTGGGAACTAGAAGACTTGGGTTTTCTTGCACTTCCACTAACTAACGTAGGATCCTTCCTAAATTTCTTAATTTTTCTGTCATTTTTTCCCCTCCTTTGTGAAGAGGTGCTAGGTGAAAGGTATGTTGAAAATAGA